ATATATATATATATATATATATATATATATATATATATATATATATATATATATATATATATATATATATATATATATATATATATATATATATATATATATATATATATATATATATATATATACCGGGTGTCCCAAAAAAAAGTACTCCGGTTTGATTTATAATAACTTCTAAACAGGTAAAGCTATCAAACAGAAATAACTTGCATTAAATAGAGGAAGGACTAACTTAGATTTTGATATATTATAGTTGTATTTTACTTAAAAATTCACGGAGATATTAATGTTCAAAATCGGGAGCATATTTTGGGATGTGTCTAAAATTAGCGAAAATCGGCATATCAAATATTAACTCCAGCGTTTGTTTGTTTAATGACATATCAGGCTAACTTGTATTTCAGCGAATTGTCGTCAGGGATTGTACCGGTATAAGGATATGGCATAGATTTAGACATCTTACATCTAAGCTCATTGTTTCCTGAAATATAAACGTTCGTATTATATTACGAAATATAAACGTAAAGTATTTAATAGGTCTTTAATACAAATTTAAAGGTACATGAAAGACCATTCAAGGCAGGCGCTTAAATTTTTCTTAAATAGCCTATATTTTTTATGCTTTTCATGGGTTGAAATCAGAGTTGAATATTTCTCGATTAGAGCAGGATGAATATTATTTTTTAATGAAGGAAATAATACTGCACTTGCAAATACACATCACAGTATCAACGCTACTATTTTGTTACGTTTTGTTCAAAAAATGTTGGATGTCTCTGGGGAGTTGCTTGTTATGTCTTATGGAGTTGTATGGTTTGATTGTGTTTCATTCTTAGTTTATTCTGAACTTGCCAAGATTAAGAAAAAGCAAAAAAGATTGAGTGTTCTTAACAAGATTTCAGAACGTTGCGAAAGTTAGAAGAGCTTCACAATTCCATTGTGACAGCATCCCCTAATTCAGAACACGAACGATCCATGACGATCCTTCGCGATGCAGTCAGTGGTTTTGTGAAATAAGGAAACGTATACTCGTGCTATAGAAACACACGCGGATTTCGGACGAATAAACCTTCCTTGTATTTTGTAGATAACAATACTTTGTTTTATAATAAACAATTTGTCAAGTGTCATTTATTTACTGGTAATAGTGCATGTTTCAGTCGGGCAAATCTTGATTATTACTTGATACCCCGTTTTTTGCATATTTCAGACACATCCAGAAATATGCTCCCGATTTTAAACATTAATATCTCCGCGAATTTTTAAGTGAAATACAAGTGTAATATATCAAAATCTAAGTTAGGGCTTCCTCTATTTGATGCAAGTTATTTCTCTTTAAAAGCTTTACTAGTTTCGAAGTTATTACGAATCAAACCGGAGTACTTTTTTTTGGGACACCCGGTATATATATATATATATATATATATATATATATATATATATATATATATATATATATATATATATATATATATATATATATATATATATATATATGCAGAGCCTGACATAATTTTAAAATTTGTCCGGAAAAACTTCCGATCAAAACGAAATTTGACCGGAAATTTGCAAAATTGACCAGAATTTTTTTTAGTTTAGTTTGACCAAGTTATAGTGAATAATAATTTAATCACGCCCGCCGACGCTGTTTCTATCTTGACCCGACAACACCACGCTGTAAACCACCATCTCGTTTATTGGGCTCGTGAACTATACTTTCCAGTTGATTACTTTATATTAGCCTAATATAGATAATCCAAACTTACAGATGGTACTCACTGTGCTGAGCGCCGACCCGATCATTAAGAAAACATTTCTCTTTTTCTCAAAATTTGGCCGGACAAAATTTCCGATCATTTCAGCATTTGATCGGAAAAATCGGAATTTGGTCGGAAAACCGCCGGCCGTTATTTCAGGCTCTGTATATGTATATATATATATATGTATATACTAGTCAAGATAAAGCACTGCAAAGTGCAAACAAAACTTCATTTTGGCATTGTATATTTTCTTTAAATCACTTGTAAAGGACTTTACTCTTAAACTAAATTTGACAATATATAGTCAACAAGGCCTAGAATACTATAACAAACAATATTTTTTCGTTCAAATAAGAAAAAAATAGTAATAATTCGTTTCAAAAACTAAATATAATGCAACTTACATCGCTTTTGTTTTCGTGCAACTGGCATGATATTGTTTGTGTCTCTCGTATTCCCTTTCAAAAATAGATTCATATTTGTCATTTATAGTGTTATAAATCTTTTGCAAACAAAATATACGAGTTAAATTGTCCAATTCAAATTAAAAATTGACTTTAAACAGCAAGAAAAAGGCAGCAAACTAAATAAAATTCTGCCTAAAACATTGCCGACAGTGAACGAATTCGCTCGTACGTAAACACGGGCTATAGTGCTGATTGGACGAAACGTTTTTCGCACGTGTGAAATAATCGTTTCGCGTTTCTGATTGGTTGTCGTTAATCTTGAAAGGGCTTTTCACATTAACAAAACCGTGCGTAAATATCAGCATCTATATAATAAATATATATACCGTATATATAGTATTTGGACTAATTCTAAATACTTATAATCATGCGTATAATGACTTAGTTATACGAGTAAAAAACCAATACCAGCCGACAATTGAAAAAATAAAATGTAACAAGTATGCTACAAAGTACGCGTTTTAGCCTTGATCACTATTTAGATGTGGCCATGGGCAGGAATATTCATGGGCAATTTGAGCCGGCTGAGTTTTAGTCAGAACTACATATTTTTAGCCCCTGTAGTCAAACCGCGGCTGAAATGTAGACCATGCACAGACCTTTCTAGCCATGGTTGAAATGATACGATTTGAAGCATTTTCGGCTATTTGACTTCTGACACAGTTGTGTGAGACTGCATGTATAGCAGTTACATACATATACTGTACAGTTGAAACAAACACGCAAAACAAAGCCATTTAAACGATTTTAAAAATTATTTGCGATTATATGCTGCCCGGGCTGAGTTTATAGTATCGATAAGCGATGATAAAGCACTGGTTTTTCTTTGCATCATTGCTTCTTTTGGGCGACAAGCGATTCTCGAATTGGCACGAGCATTTGTATAATATATTTTTAACTCAATTGTTTTAGGCATTTGAGAAAATCATTTGCGAGAACCGCGTGGGAGACCTACCTCCAAATTTGTCACGTTCAATGAACACAATACCAAGATGGCATTTTGTTCAAGGCGCTTTACCGTTTGTTCTTCACTGTTGTGCTGCCTTGCTTTCCAATCGGGCAGTACACGGCAACGCGGAGGAAAGGCTAACAGTCGCCGAAACTAAGCTATTGCACACCTTACATTGGATATTAATAAAAGCCCCCGAAGAGGTCGAGAACTACTCTGGAAAGTTATATCCTCTAAACACTGTTGAGCTTTTTATACAGTCTGTGGTGCCGTACGTGAACTGTATCCAACCGCAGGATCTCACATTCCGGCTTCAAGAAGGGCTTGAACTTTGGGAAGCTCTTTGGGAGTTTCGTGCACCTCCTTTGAAATGCTTTACAGCCCCAGTTGTGTTTGAAAAACAAGACGGAGACAAAATTAGCCTTGGTAATTCTAGTAGAAATTGTTATCCTGTTGAACTCCAGGCGACATTCTTTGACCTTGCTGTCCTAAAGTGCCTCATGTTACCAGACTGGCAGGAGGAAGGACGTGTATGGGGCCTGCAGTATGTTTTAAAGTATTTAGAAAACGAGGAAAAGGTCTTACAGGAACAATCCAATAGAAATAGTTCTAACTCAACGGCCGAGGTTGAAGCAGATACTCCTGTTATTGAGAAAGTTTCGAAGCCTGTACAACCTCAAGCAACCGTGGCTAATGTTGACAAACTGAAACGTTTCTATGGCTTAAATGCTTCACCGGATGTCGAAAGTTCGGGCGGACAAAGAAGACGTAGTGTTAAAGATAGTAATCGCATTCGTAACGTTAGCAGTTCGTCATCATCTTCTCTGTTTGATGCTCTCACATCTCTTTCGAACCTCAAGCTACCTGAAGTGGAAGAGAAAAAAACAGAGGTAGCAAATGGAGCAAAGGAATTGTTAGACGAAAATGGATTGTTGAAAAAGACTGTGTTTCTAGATCTTGTTTGTCAGATTGCAAGTCGGAGTTCAAATGCACGCGTATGTGACTTGGTCCTCTCGGTTTTGGAACATCTTTTAGAAAAACATGTTATGAAGATAAAAGCGCCGGGAAAAGACTCGACAGACAGTGCTCCATCGGATAAAGAACACACAGAGACCAGTACCCCAGTTTCTAAGCAGAATACTGAAGGCGTCGTCGGAAAATTTTCGTTCCTTCTATCTTTTAAGAAGGCTTTAGTGTCTGTTATCAAAGTGGTTTGCGCTCTTGGCTGCTCCTACGGCTGTGGTAAGGGGATCAGGGGAGTAATTGGTAAGAGGCTCAGAGCTAAAACGATGGCGATGTTATCTAAGATACATGACATGGATACAGATAACTTCAAGACTGTTTTGCGAAATTATATTGAGGATGAAGATGCGGAAGTCGTCACCAACTTCCTTCATGCGTTGCTGGGTTTCTGCACCATGACTCTTGAGTCTAAGTCAAACCAGAAGAAGATGTCTGACCATTTTAAGGAGAAATCTGGCATACTTGGTGTTATAATAGACATCATATTTGCTCCCTACATAGCTCGATTACTTGAATTTAATTTGGAAGAGATATCTAACGTGGTGAGTACACTATCATAAATATTTTTTTATGTTTACCTTAAAAAGATGATTTAACTTTTAATTCAGAATAACTGAACGGGTGGTTACTGTATTCAGTCAGATTCTATTTCCTACGGCTACAGCTGTAACACAAAAACCGTAACACAATATGAATTCGAATATTTCTGGCTGCTGCATTTTTATGAAATTTATTGTTCAATTATTTTTATTGCACCAGTACCATTATTAGTTGTTGAAGAAAACCTTATTCTGAAGGCACAGTATACTGTTCGTTGTCCCCTTTCTTTCCTAGAAACGTTCTATAATGGTTGTAACAACTTGAAGGAAGACCTTTCCCTGCTGTGCCTATATTTGACGTGATTTATAATAAGAATTTGTTACAGCTTAAGAATTTTTCTATCAAAAACTACGCACAGGCGAACCTTACATGTACTGTATATGAAGAAGCTTATAATATTATCAATCGGTCATGAGAACATGACACAGTGCTCAGTGGTATAACTCTGTGCTAAGGGCCACCAGTCTTGAACGGACTTGGACTGGCTAGTAACAATCGTTCAAATACTTCAACTTGGCCATTTTGTCATCCTTGTTCAGCCCCCCCAAATTGACAGCCCGCCTTTTTCTGGGTAGGGCCCAAAGGAGTTACGCCACCGAATCAGAACTAGCGTTAATGTTTTATATCAGAAATGTAAGATTGTTTGCATTCGCAACTGTAGCTAGCTTACCAACTAATATATTTTCTCACAAAGAACGAAATAGTTGACCTAAATATATGAATGGCGAAAGACTTCAAAAAGCCGAGTTTGATAACTCAGCTCTACTAGAAGGGCCGGCTATTCAGTGGTGAATTTATGTGAGAAATTTCAACCCCTGCTAGGCGGGGTGCTGTATGGTCATGCAGTAGTGAGGTCTTAGGTAGTCAGGGTGCCGGGTGGCGAATGTTGATTGGGGAATAGTGGCATCTTGCCTTGCACTGATTCGCCTCCCTTAATATCATTATTAGTAAAATTTTCTAATAGTAAGAATTTTAAAATTAACACGTGCAGGGATCTCGCCAACATCAGTTACAGCCCTAATTCATTAGTAGAATACTGCACAGTTGATTGTTTACTAGCAAGAACTATAGGAAGGAATTTAATATTATTACTTTATAAAATTATATTAAAGACCATTAACGGTGTTTTAGACCCTCTACGGCAACGTACGACAACTGACGAAATACGTGAAGGAATACGCTGGTGGAACTTTCTTTCGTGTTGTGTTCAGAGGTTTACTAAAGAGTTCTGGTAGACCTCAGAGACGACTGCTCCACCAACTTCCTGAAGGTAAACCTGCGACACCGGCAACTGTAACTGACGGGGACACGGCGAGCTTGCCAAAGATACCTGGGATGGAGAAAATAGTCACGCCCAAGAACCAGCGAAAACATTTCTTCTCAAAAAAATTTTCAAAAAGTGTAAGTTCCGCGGATGGCAGTCCTGTTGGAAATCCAGAGTTTAGTTTTGATGGACCAACAACTCCTCTGTCGCGAAGAAAGGTTTGTATCTCGTTGGATTTTCTTAAATCTCTTTAAAACAATTCTATGCACAATTTTTAACACCAGGTCCGACAGTTTGGCCCAACCGAGACGACGTACTTTTCATGAGATGTATCTGATACTAATTGGTTGGACCCTATAGCATGACGTAAAATCAATCATGTTTGGTACAGCGCCGTATTTAATGCCGTCAACGGTGTATATAATGCCGTGTAATTTTAATTTTTTTTAAATTCTAAGGTCAACGGATTTGGTGTTTAAAAGCGCTCTTCCAACTTCTGAAGTGCATTCGTAACTCCATATACAGTACACGCCAAATCAACGCGATTTCTTGTATAATGGTGCTGGTTCACTATGGTTTTCTGCGGAAATTGCACTCCGACCAGGGCAGATATTTTGAGTCCAGGTTGATGCATGCATTAATGACCTTTACAGAGTGGGTGGTATCGAGAAGACTAGACCTACCCCTTGTCACGCTTGAGAAAATAGCCAAGCCAAACGATTCCACGGAACCCTTTTTGATATGCTTATAAACAAGACTTGCCTATAGCTATACAGTACTAGTATACCTTTGATGCTTACAACTATTACAAAACATACTGTAGCTCCGCTGGTTACTCGCCGTATTATTAGATACGGCGCATGAAAACACGGCGTCTGAAATGAATCGTACCGCAGTCAAATAGTATGACATCAACTAAATCAGGCGGCTATTTTTCACCGCTATTTTTCACCTCTCCGATAGTGGATCGTGGATCGAAGATCGATAGCCACAAAATAGAATATTAATGAGCTGCCTAATAAAACCCAATTTATCCTTTTCAAAATGGCGGCCTTTCGTGAGTGGGCAAAATGTTTCAAATAATTTCGTTAATATTTTCAACGAATTGTACCTGTTTTCTATGGATTTTGCATTGTGTCTAACTCTGGACATTCTTGCTAGTTTAGTTAATGTATTTTTCTTGGTGCACGACTCTGAAATGCCGAAAATTGGATAGTTGAATTCCCGTGCACGATCATAATATACGGAATCTGAATATAAACGAGCCAAAAACAATTTCAAGGTAAAAGGTTATAAATTAAACTACACAACGTAGTTTTTATAGATAACTACTTTATGAGAAGCATATTGGTGTCATATTCAATATAAAATTTATCGAACGACACTCCCTAATAGTTAGCTGTCGAAACATGAAAACTGTAGTGTGAAATATGATATTGTATATTTGTAATGCCTAATGGCGCAATAAGGACAAAAATATCACCGTTCGATTCAGCGTACGAAATTGTACTTACGGATGTCAAATGTATTACTAAACAACAGTACTCTACTTCTCTAGCGATTTATGGCCTTTGTCTTTGAAAGCCAAGCGAAATTGTATTGTTGACAAATCGCTCAAAATTATTAAACTATATTAAATTATAAAAAATGCAGTACGTTTGATCTTTGATAACTTTGGTATCGTTGGTTTTCTCTTTTTCGGCCGTATACCAGTGGATTCATCTCACTTCTCTCTTCATTTTGATAGTATTTTGAGCCCAAAAGCCCCTGCGTTTTAAAGCGTAGTTTAATCCTAGTGCACGGAGTCACGGACCAACCGGCGCCCGACAGAAGAATGTAATCCTGAACTGGGGTCATTATACTAACAAACCAAGCGAATTTGAGAGCGGCAGCACTCTCCCCTTGACAAGCAAAATCGACTGGTATGACCGTATGAGACATTGAAATAATAAAGTAGGGTGCATTGCCATTGGGGCACAATGCAAGTCAGTGGCATAATAACATAGTACTTACCTAAATAAACAGAGCACTGTTATACGACTTTTCCGCTTAGCTCGGGGACAACCTTAAATCTTATTTGAAATAGCTGTGTACTGTATGTATGTATGTATCATATACAGTAATGTGCGTATTTGTATAGCCCCAGCGAGTTAACGCTCTGCAGAGCGTCTTGTTAGTATTAGATACGGCTCATGAAAAGTATACCCCGTCTGAAGCGAGCCTTAGTTCCGCAATTACTAGAAACTGGATATAGTCCGCACTCATGGCTTTGCGATGATATCTTTTTGACGACATTTTTATCCAGTTCTGGATATAATCAAAACTTGGTCAGATCTTTATTCAGCCCTTGGGCTTGATGAAAGAACGAAAAAGTTATGAGCACGTGATAAGTTTCAGAGATCGTCATGTAAGCAAAGTTAACTAATTTGTGTTCCTCAAAGACGTATTCTTGTCTTCTTAACTCTTTCAACACACTCCATGTTGTAAGAGTATTTAGGACCTAAATTGAAGACATTAATACATGTATATACACAATAAAAAAATGACAGATTATATCGATTTCTCTGTATACGCATCCTCATCAGTTGTTCGCCATCTTGTTTTTAGTTCAGTACTTCTGGTAAATTGAATTCTCCAATGGTATCTAAAACCTTAGTGAAGTTCAACTTTGTATAAAAAACATTATAGTGTGTTCCAAATCCGAGGTGTTATTAATAATTCCTCCACATGCAACAGCTTATCTGAAAGCCCTGAACGATTGAACCTCATTGTCATAATATTATTTCTCTTTACAATGTTTCCATTGAGTAGTTTGTTTTTAGTGCAAAATGCACAAAAAGTGGACAGGAATAAATTTTTTATGGTGATGTTTTTGTACTAACAACTGACATTCAAGCATTGCTAGAAAAGTTGCATGCATGTAATATTTCCTTTTGCACTTTTCGTCGTTTTGTAGACATTTTCATATGTTGAACTCTTGCGACACATAAGCACTCCTCCACGTTTCTCCGACATATTCATGATCACGTGCACATTGCATTTTATGTCGTTGTCGCTCGATGTCTGCCACAAGATCCTTTCCTCCTGTTCTGCCAAATAATCAGTCCCTTTTTTCACAATTTTACAGCTTAAAAATGTGACCTGTCTATCATACACTTGGTGTTGTTCCAGCCTTCTCAAGTACTATGATTTTCAATCCTAACTCTTGCATCTCTTTCGTACCTTCGACCATGTTGTTGCTAGAACGAAGATAATCTGTTTACTTTAAACTTTCATCTACCAAGGAGTGTGTTGAAAAAGTTAAGTTTAGGCCAAAAAATTAGCGAGCTACAATTTCATGGAAAAATTTGTAGGCCAATTTTTCAGTCACTTTTAATTTAAACACTCGAATCCCTTGCCAGATGAATCTCATTGCAAAATGGCTTTCTTTCCTGAATAACTTTCATCCACTGGAAAATTTTTTGAAAATCCATAGAATGGAAATTGTATGGACCTTTATTGGAAATGGAATGGATTTTTGATTATCCATAATAATTGTATATTTCCATACTATGGATATAGTATCGAAATAGTATGGATATACTATGGATTTAGTGGTGCATTTGCAAATGTCATAGTATGGATTTCACTTTTTTCCCCCGTGATCGCCGCGGACAAAACTTAAATTGACTGTTAGAATCAAAACTAGCATGGTCTACAAGTTCTGAAATTCATTGTATGCCAGAAAAAAATCTTAATTCGCATCCAGAACACACACCAAACATTCCCGCATGACAGGCTTCTTAAAGCTGTAGAGTTATCATCCATTAATGTACAATCTGGTTAAAACAGGGCATAAAGGCCTTGAAGAAAGGAAGTCCGATAGAAGAAACTTTTTCTGGTGAAGACGACATTCGGCCTGCGGGTTCTATGGAAAGAAGAAGAAAAAGCTTGATGAATAAATTTTTCAAATCGAACCGTAAAAAAGCAGATGAAATTTTCAGTATTGAGTTGCGAAAGGCTGGTGGAGTTTCTCTGACATCGTTTCGCCAACAACGTTCTTGTGTCGAGTATACATCAATCCCAGTGAATGTGCAGGAAATACGAGATGGCATGATGATGTTCTCCATGGTGTTGGAATCATGTTTACCAGGCAGTGTTCCTGACCCAAATATTGTCGCTGGAATCTTGGATTTGGTATGATTAATATGATTAATTCGATATTAAGCCAGTTCGCACGTCATCCACATTCATATGAGGCGTTCTAACACAGGGTAAAATTGCAGTTGAATCATATTATGTGACTAAGAAATTTAACATTCTTAGTATGTACTGTAGGTGGATGATTAAACAGTAGAAAACTGAAAGGCCTGTTTTAAATCTTCTATCTCGTCTCAGCTATACAGTACCTGTTATATGATCCAACTACATGCAATTTTATTCCGACTCGGAACGTGTCATTTTAATGTGCTGTTGCCAATGCTAACTAAAACAAGTACACTGACAATACTATCTAAACAGTACTAACTGAAAACTAAGCAAGAATATGGGAATTGTATATACGATCGGCAATTTTATCTATATGCCTGGTTACAATATTGTGTTAAAAATCATATATCATGGGGCATATTTTTGTATGATCTATAATGGAGCATCGCGTTCAGCATGTGGCTTTCAAAAAGGGAGATGGTAAAAACGGTTACTGTTGAATTTGTTGTCAGTTTAAATCTGTTTTTCGAAAAATCCACAATTTTTACCCGTATTCTTGACACTGTGAATTTTTACCGAGAAAAAATTTCCTGTATGTATCTTTTTATGAACGTGTTCCGCTGTAACGAGTTAGGGGATTAATTAGGTTTTCAATCATTTCAATAAGCAGGTATTTTGTAATCTAGCTATTCAATCAGTGGAATTTTGAGAATTAGTTATCAAAGATAAAAAAAATGTCTGTGAAAATTTCTGCAAAATTGGAGATCTCCAAATCTAGGTTCCGATACATTTTCCACCTATATGGTTGAAGATGTACTGTACGTTAAATAAAACGAAGCAAGAAGAAAAATATAACAGACCGCCGAAGCTAGTGTATTCAATGCCGTTACCAAAACACAACCAAACTCGAAACGAAAAGGATTTTGGCTATTTTGTGGCAAAGCAAGTTTTCACGCAAACCTCACCGACGATATATATCATAGATATTTTCAAATAATTCCTGATTGATCATGAATTACATATTTTCTGTCATAATGTTGTCCTTGTATTTCTAGAAAGCACCAGCTGTGGCTAGGGGTGCTTTTTTAGTGGAATGCGCCCATTTCGTTCATCGCTGTAACAAGGGAGAGTGGCCGTCATGGCTGCTGAGCAGCCATCCCTCCACTCGTCGTGGTAAAGGTGGTTTCGGAGCTCTTGTTAGGAACGCAATTGCAGTCAGTCGACGGAATGTCCGCATTAAACACGAAGCTGGATTGTTGTTTTATAAATGGGCTGTTGCTATTGGCGAAAAGTTGGAACAGATTGAAGCTAGACCTACATCTGCTTTAGAATTGAGCAAAGAGGCTAAAGATGTAACGGATAACACGAGGCAGGTTGAAGAAGATTTTCTAGACGAAGGTTAGTGTCATGATTTTATTGTATTTTGTACCTTAGTGAATGCATCGTCCGAACTACGTTTAAGAAGACTGCCGCTTGCTGTAATTATGGCACCATGACACAGAATAGGAACCAAACAGAATTGTCATATATTGTATGCAGCATATAACAATATATATTGTCCTTGCGCTCTGATCAAATGATCCAGGCTTTAATAGATTCTTTGAGAGACGACTATACGTTCAGCGTTCAATTCCCTCAGACCAAGACAAAGTTAAACGAAGAAGTAAAATCATGTGAGTTTCGCATGCAGAGATGGCCTCTACACCACCAAAAGCTGTTAGGGAAATGTCGAAAAAACAAGATGACCATACACGATAAATTGGCCCGGAGGACAGGGTGACCCATGTAACTTAAGACCGTCTTCCCCCCCCCCCCCTTTTCCACATGTTCAACCCTTCATACCTTTTGTTTGACTTATTACTTGTTTTCTTCGCTTTAAAACCTATACGAATATGGCAAAAATTTCCGTACAGGGGCACTTATAAACGATGTTGTATTTGTTCAGGTACACTTGACGAGGAAACTAGAAAATGTCCGCACGCACTGAAAATGGTGGCATGTCAACTACTGCTTGAAATAACGGCATTTTTACGAGAAAGTCACAGTTCCTTAGCGAAGAAAGCTGAAAACCAGAGAATGAGAAACAAGAGCATTGCTTTTTCCAGACAAAATAGGCGAATGACCCAGAAAGTATCCGTATTTGGTGGAGAATACAAAGATGCCGTGACAAGTGGTCCAGCTGAAAGACTTCGACAAGGCAACATGTCTATGCTATCACCTGTTATGAGTTTACTCGTTCCTACTGTTCAGATCCAGCAGGGTGCGTCGGAAAAGAAAATCTCTGCACCTGTTATCAAAGTAGACGGCGGCCCATCGGAGAATGAAAATGATGAAGCTTCAAAACCAGTTCGGAAACGGTTCAGCGCATTGTTCTCCAATTCCGAAAAGAGGAGGAAGCTATTAAAACCAGAAACTACGGAACGAAAAACCAGTTCATCCAATTCAAGAATATATAAGAAATCGTCCAAAGGTAAGTACAGTATATATCGGTAGCAGTTGCCATCATCAACAAAGTTTAAACATTCATTTACACTGATTATAAGTGCATGTTTCATAAGTGAATGTTTCATACATATATATATATATATATATATATATATATATATATATATATATATATATATATATATATATATATATATTATATATATATATATATATATATATATATATATATATATATATATATATATATATATATATATACCAGTCCCACCTCGGACCAATCAAAAAATTTTCGTTTTTTGCCCACCCCGGACCTATCAAAAAAATTTCATTTTTTTGCCTACCCGGGACCTGTCAAGAAAATTTTATTTTTTTGCCCACCGGGGACATGTCAAAAAATTCTCATTTTTTTGCCCGCCCCGGACCTATCAAAAAATTTTCATCTTTTTGGCCACCCCGGACCTATCAAAAAATGTTCATTTTTTTGCCCACCCCGGACCTGTGAAAAAATTTTCATTTTTTTGCCCACCCCGGACCTATCAAAAAATTTTCATTTTTTTGCCCACCCGGGACCTGTAAAAAATTTTTCATTTTTGTGCCCACCCCGGACCAATCAAAAAATTTTCATTTTTTTGCCCACCTCGGACCAATAAAAAAATTTTCATTTTTTTGCCCACCTCGGACCTATCAAAAAATTTTCATCTTTTTGGCCACCCCGGACCTATCAAAAATGTTCATTTTTTGCCCACCCCGGACCTATCAAAAAATTTTCATTTTTTTTCCCACCCCGGACCTATCAAAAAATTTTCATTTTTTTCCCCACCCGGGACCTGTAAAAAATTTTTCATTTTTTTGCCCACCCCGGGCCTATCAAAAAAATTTCATCTTTTTGGCCACCCCGGACCTATCAAAGAAT